GCCGGGCTCTCCGCCTGTCTTCAAGGCGCGTTACGTGGCTCGAGGCTTCAGTCAGCGGCAGGGAGTTGACTACTTTCAGACCTTCTCTCCCACCCCGAAGATGACCACTCTTCGGGTGCTGCTGCACATAGCCGCTTAGCGCGACTACGAGCTTCACTCTCTTGACTTCAGCACTGCTTTCCTGCAGGGCAGCCTGCACGAGGAGATCTGGCTGCGCCGCCCACCTGGCTTCACTGGGTCGTTTCCTCCTGGTACCCAGTGGAGCCTCCGGCGTCCAGTCTACGGTCTCCGCCAGGCGCCGCGTGAGTGGCACGGCACACTGAGGACTACACTTGCGGCTCTTGGGTTTGCTCCTTCTACTGCCGACCCGTCGCTGTTTCTACGCACCGACACCTCTTTGCCGCCGTTCTACATCCTCGTGTACGTTGACGACCTGGTCTTTGCCACTGCTGACACTGCTGGACTCGCCCACGTGAAGTCCGAGCTGCAGAAGAGACACACGTGCACAGACCTGGGTGAACTGCGCAGCTACCTTGGCTTGCAGATCACCCGGGACAGAGCACAGCGCACCATTACCCTGACTCAGTCACACATGGTGCAGCAGGTCCTTCAGCGCTTCGACTTCACGTGCTCCTCGCCTCAGGCCACTCCTCTGTCTACTCGCCACTCGCTCTCAGCTCTGCCTTCGGATGAGTCCGTAGAGTCGAGTGGCCCGTACCCAGAGCTTGTTGGCTGCCTCATGTACCTGATGACCTGCACACGACCTGACCTTGCATACCCTCTTAGCATCTTGGCACGCTATGTTGCTCCTGGGAGACACCGACCAGAGCACATGGCTGCAGCGAAGAGGGTGTTGCGCTACGTGTGCAGTACGTCGGGCATGGGGCTAGTGCTTGGAGGGCGACGTCGAGTAGTCCTCACAGGTCACGCTGACGCTTCTTGGGCTGACGACCAGGCTACGCAGCGGTCGTCACAGGGTTACACCTCCAGCCTTGGCTCCGGCTCTATTTTGTGGCGGTCTACCCGCTCGTCCTCTGTTCTCGGCTCCAGTTGTGAGGTTGAGATCTACGCATGGGCCATGGCTGCACAGGAGCTACGCTGGCTCACCTACCTGCTGACTGACCTAGGAGAGCCGCCTCGTTCTCCTCCAGTTCTGTACGTAGACAACAAGGCCATGCTGGCCTTGTGTCGGGAGCACAGACTTGAGCACAGAACGAAGCACATTGCTCTCCGCTACTTCCTGTCTCGTGAGCTACAGCAGCGTGGTCAGCTCCGCCTCACCTACGTGGCCTCTGAGGCCAACACTGCTGATATCTTCACCAAGGCCCTTCCGCCTTGTGATCATCAGCGCTTCTGTACTGTGCTAGGTCTTGTGCCTACCTGGCCTCACTTGCTCACTTCTTGATCTTGTTTGTACTGTCTTCTTTCTATACCTGCCCTTGCTTGTTTTACCTTTATATATATGACCTTGCATGTGAACTGGCCTTGTGGCCTTACTCTTGTGCTTGGACTGTGTGGTGACTTTGTGATCCACCCTGAGCTTGCTTTGCTTTGCTTTGCTTTGCTTGACTGGTCTTGTGACCACTTGTTCTCCCCCACTTTGCCTATGGGGGTGTGTCAGAACATTATAGCTTATACATTTGTGTAGGCTGTAGTGGGGTAGCCCATAAGGAGTACAGCCCAATCAGGGTTAGTACTTGTACCCAACTGTTTCATAGTTCATCCATTCCATTCTCACTTCTCGTCACGATACTGCTGCACCTACGGGAATGCTAAGTGTAATTCCCTTAATACTCCGACACGTTTTATGTCGTATCAATGCAAGACCTATTTTCACATCGGTGCGCTCCAAAACGCAGGAGATTACTAGTGCAGCATGGGATCCGGTCGACGAAGGGACGGTCGACGACGAAATTGTTATCGCAGGCTCTGCTCGACGGGATCCAGTCGACGACGTCGACGGGCATTGCTGATGCACATTAGTGGTCGACGAGAACCTTCGATGGGCACTGCTCGACGAGCTGGTCTCGGCGAGTGCTGTTCGACCAAGCAGCGTCGAGTTGGTCGGTGAAAGTAACGCCTGACCCCTCGTCTTCGTACTCGGTTGAGTCGGTCTCTGCAGCGTGCTAGATGTTGGGAACAATTGACTTAAGCGCCTCTGTCGTGTCGAAACACTAAGTCATAAGCGAAGCACAACATATTGAAGCATCGGCGAGTCAACCCTCGGAGGTGGAGCAACTGCTGGAGGTTACACGAAAGTCAAAGGTCAGCGACCTTTGACTTGACAAATACAGCGCGACAACAAGGACAAACAACTGACTCGTTATTGAGCAGTTGCCCGAGTCGTCACTGTATCGAACCGCACCAGCAACAGCAAAACAGTTATTAGTTATAACTGTTCATATTCCCTTGTACTCTTATAAAAGCTTGTATCCCTTTGTTTTAATCAATCTACTTTGCCCTCACATACTAGCGCAAGATGGTTTAAACACTTCACTAAAAGCTTCCGCTATTACATCATCCCTATCTAGAGTTTAGTCCTGTAAATATCCTAATGGCTTTCTCAGCCCAATACTAGAAAGGCTGGCCCCGGTGGTACAAGAATGTGTTCATATTCACTTGCTCTACGGCGCACGGTTAGCGAAACCGTCGACAGGTATTCTTCCTGGCACCTGCGCATGAATAAGATCGGAATTGATGATAGAAATATTAATGAGAATTGAAGGGAATGCCCCCCCCCCCCCCCCCCCCCCCCCCCCCCCCCCCCCCTTTTTTTTCTTTTTTTTTTTGCCTCCTATTCCTTACTTATCAAGTTTGCCTATTGCAGTCTATGTATTTATTTGTTTACGTATACGCTTTTATTTCAGTTGCAGCTCTGCTCTGTATCAAACTGCTCTGTGGCGCGTTTCTGCGACGCTTTTCCCTGCACCACTTCCGTCGAGTCGAGACGGAATCCGTCGACGGAGGCGGATTTGCTCGACGGACAAGGGGTTTGGTGCAGGCGGGGTTGGTGCAGACGGGGGGGAGCACGTGGGGTCAACGCCAGCTCGAGCGGGGACCACCTCGCGTCACTCCGAGCTGGGGAGGCTCGTTTCGGGCGGGCGGATTGGCTGGCTCCCGCCCCTCGCGTGCCCCGCCACGCGACCGAGGGAAAACGAAAATCCCTCCGAGGGAAACCCGCAGGGGCGAACGGGTTTTCGCGGAGGGATTCGGCCGACGTCTTCCCTTGTTCAACAAATGTGGTCAGTGGCAGCCACGAATTCCTTGTTTTCTACAGAACACGAATCATGTCACTCCCAGTGTTTGTGCGTGCACCACGTCCTCCAACCTTATCAAGCTGCTCGCCCTGCCACCCCAGATGTTAAAGGCGGGGTGCAACTTCTTAGAAACAGAAGCAGGACAGATATGGAGTGTGTGTAACGGGACCCTTATTGGACGAAAAAATTGGAATCTCGCACAAGACAAACCTCTCGCCACTGAACTGCCTGTGTACCAAGTTTCAAGCTATAATACCCTGAAGTTGAAGCTGATAGTTGGGCCACGGCTACAAAAGCGGCTCAGGATTCATCTTCTCAAAAGCGGCTGCGCGCTACAATCTCAGAGCGATAAAATTTTACGAAGATATGGTCCTCCTATATCCATCGTGGCAAGACACACGCCACACCTTTGAACGACTACACCCTAATGCTCACCCAACTATCTATTCTGGACATGCCTCATGCTACTACATACGCCCAGTGGTCGACATTCCCAGCCAACGGCCCGAGCGTTACAGGCCCACGACAAAAGCAAGATACTCTTGACCTCGAATAAGTTATTTGAGTTTCCCAGACAAGACACGCTAGGCTACCCAAATACAGTCCCGTTCTCCCCATGGGGAGCGCATGCTCGAGAGAGGAGCACAAGGAAAGATGGGAAAGGGGACCGAAATAGGCAGCAGGTGTAGCCAATGCGCATGGCCAATCGGGATTTGACTCAAGAAAATATTCTGTGAGCTGACTCAACAAGCTGCCCGGGACACTGTAGCGAAAGTCTGCACGTTGTCATGGGTTTCGACAACAGTCGACCTCATGTGCTTGACGACTCATGTGCGACGGTGCGACCTCTCCTTTCGCCCAGACTGGTCGCATGATCGCACCAGGATTCACCATTGTTAGCAAGTGTGCCTCAATTCTCTCCCCCGCCTCAACTCCAGCCCAACCTACTCCGACCCAATCAACCTTTCCCAAATCAGCCTCACCGACACATCTCTGTGTTCGACATCCGTGGGGGGGACGTGAAAGCACATCCCAGCTCCGCCAATGCATATTCTCGCGGAGTCGAGTCGAGTCCCCGTTGTGGGGTGTTTTCAATTGCCAACCCAACGTTATCCGAGTGATTAGTTCCTCCGCTCCCCGCTTCTGCCAATTTTCAACCACTCAAAGCGAGGGAAGGCACTTGGTAAGGACTCTTGCATACACAGCGCTACCGAAACGACGCAGTCGAAACGACGCCGCATGTAGCGCGAGGTTGTTGTTCCCCCCTCCCTCTCGTGTACATGTTTTTTCTCCTCCGCAACCAAAGCCGGCGTTCCCGGTGGAGCCGTCTTTTCCATCCTTTTGAGCCAAAAGAGCCATCCAAAACACGTGTGATGTGGACCGGAATGAACATAAGAACTGACTTTCATTGCGTCTCGTCGCTTGCCTTGTCAATGCGGTTCACACGTTCTCGCGCTCTTTACATTTCTCGGAGTGCGAGCGATTGCGCTCTTAACGTTTTCTCGCAGAACGATTGCGTAGTCCCGCTTTCACGGGGCCCGAACGACTCGTTAGCCAGAACGAGTCCCAGAACGTTTTGCAGGTCCTGAACAATCCACGTCGCCGACTTGAGTTAGCCTGGGTTCTGCTATCTCAAAAAATAGCACCCTAGGAGTTGGCCTTTCACAACCTAGGTCGTTAGTAGGAGAAAGCTTTCTCCGGGTAGCTCCCCGAGTTCAACTCGGGAGGCGCAGCGCTCAGCTGATGGCGGCCTTCCCAGGAGCGTCAGCACCGGTAGCGGTGGGGGAGAACATGACGGATATCGTGCGAGCTGATGGGCATATGTGGCTCAAGTACGGGCAGAAGAACATTCACAACACCTCCATCATAAGGTGCGCTTTGAATGTCTCTGGCTGCATTTGTGGCACACGATCGCCTGCTGCCTTACACAACAGCAGCTACTTTTTAGTATAAGCGCAGCCGCTAATAAGGCCTTTCTACTGTCTCTTTTATCCTATCTATCGCTCGCTTCTGAGCAGCACTGTCACTATACTACCGAAACCGTACCTGCGTTTTTTCAGCATCGTGATGTCTGATCGGACGATTCGTTTCCACATTCCGTGACGGCTGCTGCAGGTGCTACTTCAAGTGCTACTCCTCCAAGAACAAGCCAGCCTGCCGAGCGAAGAAGACTGTCGACTACGATCGTCGCCTCCCCATCTCGTCCGCCACCACCCAAACCAAGTACACCAACCGCTCTCACAACCACTCCATTCCTCTCAACTGCGACGGCTCCAGCGATGCTCTCGGCCAGGGCCCGTATCCATCCAACGCTGCACATTCGAGCTCCGCCGTCGCCCTGGAGTGCGCCCCCAGCTCTGCGAATTCGAGCTCCTGTAACCTTACTGCCGTGGTTACCACCAACAGCTCGCTCACTTCCCCTCCAAGCAGAGCCGGAATCCGTCCTGAGCCGTCTGCACTTGCAAGCAGCAGCGCTCTCACCAGGGCGAAGTTCCCCATCAGACCCACCATCTCCGGAGGCGTTATTTCTTCCTCAGTTGAAGCCGATCCCGCTTGGTCTGACTCGCCGTCGGATGATGCTGCTGCCGCGACGATTGCGGCAAACCTCTTGCCGCAAAGCGTCGCCTTCACTAGCAGCAGCGAGTCAGCTGCTGTGACGCCGCCGTCACCCGCGATGCCGCCGTCTCTTCCGTTCAACTCCTGCGGATCGGCGTCTGAATCCGGAAGTCTGAGCCACTTCTTTGCTGAAAATGAATCTCTGGGTGGACACTCGCTGTGTGCGGAGAAGAGGGTCCGTCTGACGCCCTCTGACGAGGCAGCGTCTACTGAGAACGCGAGCAACTCAGCCGGTGAACACTGGCCCACCAGCAGTAGAATTTTCGAGGCACTGTCTGCTGATCTGGATCAGAGGTTCCACCCTGAGGCGTGCAGCCCTCCCACAGCTGATGCTGCTGCACGTGACAATTCATTTGGACTTCCCGTCACGGGCTTTTCATTCGAGGATGGCCTTGCGGCGGCGAGTCCAGAAGAAGCAAGACCAAGAGGACTGGCGCATGCCGACATTTCTTTCGAGGATTTCCTCTCTGATTTGTCTCCAGAGTTGTGTTCTGATGATTTCTGGTGTGAGGAGCCGCCTTGGCTGGAAGCAGCGGATGTGAGTCCTCCATGGGGATCATCTGGCTGGTCAGCTGGCAGTTCCTTTGTTGATAGCCAAGAGCCCTACTCGATTGGCTTGAAACGCAGTGCTTCAGCCATGCTGACTGGTGCCACCGAGGCAGGAATCCTTGATGAAAGCAACCCCGGGCATGCTTGTGCGCCCTGGCCCATGCCAAAATCAAGTAGTGCGCACAGTGTGTTCAGCTTTCTGGGTGGGGGTGATACCTTGAGCGTTTCTGACTTGATGAAGCACCTGTAGTAACCAGGAGCTGTTGCGGATAGACAGAGGGTCCCAGTCCCCTCTAAGGGTTTTTTTTTTTCATGAGCGCAGAGACTCTAGGGCTCACGTTTTTGCATGATGGGTTCATGTTTCAATAATTCGTACCTTTGTATTGATTTTTGAATGAAATTTCTGTGTACCATAGTTTTCTGGATAAAAGTCCCATAACACAGTGCGGGTGGACATTATGGCGGACGGTGTAGTAGGGGTGATGCTCCACTCAAACACATCACTGTCTGGGTGATGTCACCTCCCCAGCGCGGAGAAACCCACACCTCCAGTGCGATGCCGTGTTCCTGAATCCAACGGCAAATGCCAAGGGGACGGACAGACGAAGTCAGATGTGGGCGCAGCGCTTCACCTCTGCGCAACTGAGCTGACAATCACCAAAGCGAATATCGCAACCGTCTACTCAGGGCATCCAATCCAGAGGCCGTTCGATCTGGTTAGACCAGTGAATTCAATCAGCTCGAGAGGGTGTGGTAAGAATTCACTGATTGCGGTGGTGTACGATGTTGTGCATGTCATTTACGATTCATTGCGTTTGGGTAGGGTTTTGAGCAAATATGAAGACGCCTGACACGCGCTATGACTTTACCCCACCCGTTAAGGACGCGTCACCTCTTTCTTCAAGAGGAAGATCGATCGTGCACACGATCGGCGTGTCTGGTGTACAGTACTTTCGCAAGTTGGCGAAATATGATGTTTCCAGGCTTCGGGAACTTTCGAGAATGTACAGTAACTTGGTCATCCAGAAGGTTTCGCCTAGGGCTCACGCGATCGATGTGCCAAAAGCCGATGATCGATCGTGCAATTGTGGCGATCGTGCAATTTTGCACCATAAAATTCCTATCTTGTCACCTGTGGCTCGGCGGAGCCCCGCGACCGGAAAATTGCAATGGAGCACACCGATATGCATACCGATCGCGGCAAAATCGGTGTGTAGTACCGATTTTCCCTCGATCCTGCCATTTAGGAAAGAGGTGACGTGTCCTCAGGACGCAGTAAAAGTAGACGATCGATCGTCAGTAGCGATCGATGTGCGGATAGGTTACTCTATAAACTACGCTGTAACCATGCTACATTGTAACTACGCTTTCTGGCCAAAATTTCTGTACAGTGTGAGAATGCGACTGATCAGGACGTGGCACCTGTTTTCGTTTTACAATGATCGTGGCCTCACATCGATCCTGGCATATCGATCGGCACACCGATGTGCCCACACTGCAAATTTGCAGTGGGGTAGACACATCGAGCTATAGGTGCCAGGTTCGAAATTGCAGGCTCGGGCAGGTTGGAGCTGCCATTACACTTCAACGCGCAGAGCGTGGATGGTCGTCCAGCAATTCCATTCGCAGCGACCCAAGAATTTTCGGCCTGCGACCGCGGGCGACGCCGATCGATCGAGGCTGTCACCTGTGGCGCGATATGCTCTCCCGCCAACCCTTACACATGCACCACGGCACATCGATCGTGCGAGCTGCAGGTGCCACCGATTTCGGTACCCGTTTACTGTACATTCTCGACGTTCAGCGAAATACGGATACCAGGCGTTCGCGAAATCGCCAATACACTGTACAGGCGGCACATCGATCCCCTCCCACGATCGATCCTGGCAAAATGAAAACAGGTGCCGCATCCTCACTGTTCGCGGGAATCTGTCAATTTTCAGCCGCGATCGTTACAACGTCGCGGTCGCCACGTTTCACCAAACGATCTGCCCACTCGATTGTGGGGATCGATATATGCAGACGATCCTGCTATATTTGCACTTTCAACGCGTCCTCAGCTCCACTCCGAATCCGAAACACACAGCTCTTACCTAAGGGCGTATCCAGGTTCGGGTCATGAGCACTGTTCTGGCTACTGTTCGGGTCATGCGGAATTTGTGCATGACCCGAAGTGGGCTGCCGAACCGCGCGCGGCCCCAGCTTTGGGTCAATGTGTAGGTGTTGTGCGACTGACGTGCATGACCCACCCACAGCCAATCACCTGGTTGCACGATTGTGGTGTTACTGCCATCTTTTTGTCGCTCGGCAGTCGAGTGTCACACGTGGGCAATTTCCCACGTCTGACACCTCTGCACCCAACCACTCGGCAAATTGACCCCGAGTGTGTCAAAAATTTCTTGCGTCGTGCTCCCAACATTTGGGAATTTGCTCCGGGAAATTTGGGTTGTGTTTTCTCAGTGAGTGTCACGTGGTTTTGCGTGGGTCTCGCTAATGACCTTTCGAAATGTTCTGGCATCCCTCCATTGGATGCGACTGTTGATGTGAGCTGGATTTTGACGCGAAAACCCTCGCGGCAATATGGGGGTCGCATGACCCAAACATGCGTTCTATGCTGTTTGGGTCATCCGCAAATCGCGCATGCCCGGAACAGTGCTCATGACCCGAACCTGGATACGCCCTAAGGTTCCTTCTGAACTCGCCTCCTTCCATCCTCCTCGACCATCAGCATCATCGCATCGCCAAGACACGAATTCATCAGTAACAAATTCTGGCACTGCGTTTCCTCCGCAGCTCAATAATCCCACACTTACGATTCCTCGATCTTGAACCACTTTGTGTCGTTGAGGCTACGCAGCACTTTGAGATCCCTCGTTCAACAGTACAGAAGCCTTATTACGGACAGCACGCGTTAGTACCATGGAACGACCGTCACACATTCCCGCGGATCGCGATCGTGACCGTGATTGCGAAGAGCTTTCCGCGGAATGCGCTTCCGTCACGGCCCTCCTGGACGACGGCACGCTCTCCCTCGTCCTCTCCTTCCTCCCCTCGCGCTTCGCCATCTCCTCGGTCGCCTTCGTCTGCCGCCGCTGGTGCCGCGTCGCGTTGCGCGTGTGTGTGCGATCGCTCCGACCGTCGCCCTTCCTGCTCGAGAGCTTAGCTCCGGGATCTGATAGCATCCTTGGTAGCTTTGATTCCGAAGCGCAGATGCTAGAGTTGACGACTCGATTCGCCGCCACACTTCGATCTCTGGAGATCCGTCCCGGCGCGAGAAACTTAACCGCCGGTGACAACGATAAGCTGACGGCCCACGGCATTGTGCGAATCCTTGAAATCGCCTCGAGGATTGAAACCCTATCTCTGGTCGGTTGCGTCGAGCAGAACTGTCCGACATTCGACTCGCTACCCATGAGCACCTCAGATTTTGCCACGGTGGTGTTACCAGCCCTGCCACGTCAGCTCAAGCGCCTGGATCTCCGCTCGGACCACTTTCTCTGCCCTGCCGCGTGCGTGGACCTGCGGGGGTTCTGGTTAAGCCCGTGTGATGATCCGGAGATCACATACCCGAGCCATGATCGCGTGTGGGGCCACGCGGACGGCATTCAGCTTGCCGGCTCCTCCACCATCCCACCTCCGCCGCCTCCGCCCCCTCCCCGTGCTCCTGCGCCCCCTCCTCCTCCCTCTCGTGCCATTCCTCCCCCACCTCCTTCCGTTCCTCCTTCTACTGCTTCTGTCGCTCCTCGCTCTACCTCTTCCCTCCCGCCTCCCCCCCCTCCCCCTCCCCCACCTCCTTCCGCATCTCATCCTCCGCCTCCTCCCCGTCCGTGCGTCCTGCACCCCCCACCGCCTCCCCGTGCGAGCCCCCCGCTCCTCCCACCGCCTCCGCCCCCACCGCCTCCGCCCCTCCCGCCTCCCCCCATCCGAAACCGTCCGCCCCAGCGCTCTTTCCTTACCGACCTCCACGTGAACACCATCGCCGCCTCGCTCCCTAATCTCCGCGCCTTGAACCTCGACACGCCAGCGGACATCACGGCCGCGTGCGTCGAGCACGTGGCCAGCACACTCCCGCTTCTGGCGGCGCTCTCGCTCTGGTCCGACGCCGTCACGTGGGAGTCGGCGGCGCTGCTCCTCGCGCTCCTCCCGTCGCTGCAGCGCCTCTCCCTCGTGTCCGGCGCGCTGGTTCCGCGCGCCTCGCCCCAGCCGGGGCGCGCAGAGGCGGGTGCAGCAGCAGCGCGGGATACTTCAGCGAATGCAGCCGCTGGTGCAGAAGCAGCGGGGTCGGATGATGCTCTATCTCTCTTCGCCTCGCTCTCCCTTGCCCCCCCCAGTGCCGCCGACCCCTTCTGGTGCCCCTCAGGGTCGTCCCTCGCGCCCTGCCTCGCCTCCCTCCGCCTGTACCTCTCACCCCATCGCTCCGTCGCCTGGGATCAGCCTCCCGCCTCCTCGCTGCTGCTCGCCCTCGCTTCTGGCTGCCACGCCACCAGCGCAGAGAAGGATACCAACAGCACCAGCGCAGAGAAGGATACCAACAGCACCAGCGCAGAGAAGGATACCAACAGCACCAGCGCAGAGAAGGATACCAACATCACCAGCGCAGAGAAGGATACCAACAGCACCAGCGCAGAGAAGGATACCAACATCACCAGCGCAGAGAAGGATACCAACAGCACCAGCGCAGAGAAGGATACCAACAGCAACAGTGCCGGTGGCAGCGGTGGCGGCGGCAGCGGCGGCGGCAGCAGCGGCAGTGGCAGGAGCAGCAGCAGCGGCAGCAGCGGCAGCGGCAGTGGCGCGAGCCTGTGTGTCCCACGTCTGTCCTCCTCCTCTCTGCACTCCTTCCACGCCCACAATTCCCCCGCGTCCACATGGCTGGCTGTGAGCCACCTGTTCCGCCACCTCACCACCCTGGATCTGTCCCGAACTGAGGTGCTGCGTTCCCCACCCCCTCCCGATGGCGAGCCGGGGAGGAGCGAGGAGGCACTCTGCCGGGCCATCCGCGGCCTGCCTCTCCTGGAGCGCCTCGCCCTCCCCCTGGCGTCAGACACTGTTCTGCTGGAGATCTCCCAGTCCTGCCCGAAGCTCACCGCCTTGCACGCGCAGCCGCTAGCTCGGTTCATCCCTGTCGCGTCTGCTGAGGGAAGTGGCACCAACGACTTTCTCTACTACACGTCCTCCTATGCCAGGGCCTCCGTGCGTGTTGCCCTTCCTGCTGTCCAGTGGCGGGTGACTGATGCAGGGGTGGTGGCTATTGCGAACGGATGCACGCGATTGGTGCAGCTGAGTCTGGGCGGCTGTGTGAACGTGCGACCCGCAGCGTGGCGCCAGCTGGCGAGGAGATGCGGGCGGCTGGAGGTGCTGAGGCTGCCGCGCACACGGGTGGACGACGCTGCTGTCGTGGCGGCGCTGTTCGGCGACAGCTGGCACGGCGGTGTGGGTGTGAATGCTGCCACTGCCGCCACTGCTGCCACTGCTGCCACTGCTGCTGGGGCTGCCCCTGGAATTCCACCTAGTTCCGACGCCACTGCTGCTGCAGGCCGTGCTTCCAGTGCGCCAGTGCCCCTGCAGCTGCACCTGCCAAGACTCGTCCTGCTGGACCTCTTTGGATGCCCGGGCGTGACTTGTGCCCTCCTGCTCGCTCTCTCAGCAGCAGCCAGGGAGCTTGCTGGCAACGATGAGAAGATCAGAGGAGATGGGGTGGCTGAAGAGGTGGAGAGGGATGGGGAAAGTGAGGAGGAGAAGGCACTCACGGCGGTTGAGGGTGTGGGGCATGAGAAAGGAAGGAAGACGGTGAGAGGATGCTGTGGGTTGCAGGAGTTCAGACTGCGGCGCCTGCTGGTGTCGCCTGAAGTGATTGGTGGAGATGGGTGGAGAGGGAGCGAGGGTGTGTCGGGGGGTGGAGGAGATGGTGGAGGAACGGGCTCTGACTATGTGGATTTGAGGCTTGTCGCCAGGGAGGTGGGTATGCTGTTGCCCAAGTTGGTGGTCACTGCTAGAAGGACTGCGGAACATGTGTTGCCATGGGATGGCTTTTTTGGGGAGCGGAAACTTGAGCTGGATGGTGACAACGATGAGAGG